GATATAGGTTATAAATGATGACTAAGTTTATAAATGGTCAGTTCATTATCAAAAATTGAGTTTTTGCTCCCCTATGATATTTCATGGGAGAAAAGAAACAAGCATTTATTAAGCAACTATTATGTGCCAGGCAGATTCCAAATATTTTCCTCATTTGATCCTCACAATAACCCTGGGAGATAGGTGCTATTTAGTTGGAAAATTTGAGGTAAAGTGACTTGCCCAGGGTCAAGCAGCTAGTGTTCCAGGACAGATATGAACTCAGGTCTTCCTGACTCCAGGCCTAGCTCTCTATTCACTGCAGCGCCACCTAGCTGCTTCTCTTATATTAGGGAAGCAGTATGTGTGGTGGATAGTGGACCAGTTATGAAGTCAGGAAGACTCGGGTCTCAGTCTTTCCTCTGACACATACAGTACCTATGCTAACTGCTTATTTGGTGTTCATTGACTTCAGACTCTTTCCTTTCTGGCCCGTCCTCCATGTGAATGCCAAAATTATCTTTCTTTTAAAAATAATTAAGTGTATAAGTATTTATTATCTCTCCTTACCACTCCCTCCATTGACCAATTGAAAAAAAAAATGAAAGAAAACCATCATAACAAATATTTGGTCTAGCAAAACAAATTCCCACATTGGCCATGTCCAAAAACGTGCTGCCCTTTGAGTCTATCACCTCTCTGGCAGGGGGTGGCTGGAATGATTCATCTTTAGTCATCTGGACTCATGGTTTCTCATTGCATTGATCTGAATTCTAGAGTCTTGCCAAGTTTTTCCTTCGTAATGTTGTTGTCATTGTATTTCTGCTAGTTCTGTTTGCTTCACTCTGAATCAGTTCATAAAAGTCTTCCCACTTTTCTCTGACACTGTCCATTTTTTTTTTTTTTTTTTTGGTGAGGCAATCAGGGTTAAGTGACTTGCCCAGGGTCACACAGCTAGGAAGTGTCAAGTGTTTGAGGCTGGATTTGAACTCAGGCTCTCCTGACTCCAATGCCAGAGCTCTATCTACTGCACCACCTAGCTGCCCCTGACACTGTCCATTTTTGTTATATATCATAATTTGTTCAGCAATTCCCCAATAGGTGAGCACGTTACAATTTGGGGCTGCTATGAAAAGAGCTGCTAGAAATAGTTTTGCACATATGGGTCCTTTTTCTGCTTTCCTCCATCTCTTTGGGGCATAGACCCTAGTGGTAGGATAGCTGGGTAAAAGAGTCAGTGCAGTTTGGTAACTTTGGGGGCATAGTTCCAGACTGCTTTCCAGAATGGATGGACCAGTTTACAGCTCCATCAACAGCATATTTGTCTCCTAGAACCTCTAACGTTTCTCTTTTTCTTCTGTCACCTTTACCAGTCTGATAGGTGAGAAGTGAAGCCACAAAGTTCCTTTGATTTTCACATTTCTAATTATTAGTGATCTGAAGCATTTTTTCATGTCTACTGATAGCTTGAATTTCTTTCTTTGAAAACTGCTTGTTTAAAAAAAAGTATATTTTTGTTCAGAATAAAAACATTTTTGATTAAAAAAAAGAAAGAAAACTTTCCATTTATATCCTTTGACCTTTATTTATTGGGGAGGGCTCTTTAAATCAATTCTTTTTATATCTTGGCTATAAAACCTTTATTAGAGAAACTTGCTGTAATGATTTCCCCACCCCCAGTTACCTGTTTCCTTTATAATTTTAGCTGCATTAGATCTGTACAAAATTTTTAAATTTTTTATAATCAGAATTGCCCATTTTATCTTCTGTCTCCCCTGTTTGTTTGGTCATGAACTCTTCCCCTGTCTATAGATCTGAAAGGTAATTTATTCTTTGTTCTTCTAATTTGCTTATGATGTTTATCTTGATATACGGTGTGAATGTTAGTCTATCCTTCATTTCTTCCAACCTGCTTTCCAATTTTCCCAGAAAGTTTTGTCTAACAGTGAGTCTTTCTTCTTCTCTCCCCTGTCCCCCCACCCCCACCCCAGTGACTGGGGTCTTTGAGTTTATCCAGGGGTGTGCTGAAGCCAATTCTGAAGCTGATTGTTAAATTTTCAATGTGAGCATTTATTTACACCTCAAAAATAAGCAGTCGAGCTAAAAATCAAGGCTTTATTTAGGGTTTTATTGATGGTCAAGATTCAATAATACAGATTAAACTTCAAAGTGTGTGTGCATGCATTCCTTCCCTGCCCCACCCCCCGCAGCGGGGAGCAAGTTGTTAAACAATTACCAGCACAGCCTTGTATAAACCTTGCTTGAACTCAGCAGAAATGCAGTGGAAGGCTCAAGGAATGAAGTCATTAGTAAACTGGAGGCCTGTGCTCATAGCCTAACAACAACAACCAATAACAGGCATTTCTATGACGCTTTAAGGTTCGAAAAAATATATCCACCATCTTATTTGAGTCTCATAACATCCCTGGGTTTAGCATACCTTGTGCTATTGTGTTTCTGTATGTTTTGTCCTAATCTGTTCTGCTGATCAGCCTCTCTAGTTTTTAAGTCTTTCCAGGCTTTTCTTTTTCTTCAAATAATTAATTTATTTATTTTTAGTTTTCAACATTCACTTCCATAAGATTTTGAGTTTTAAATTTTCTTCCCCTCCCTCCCCCCTCCCCAAGACGGCGTGCAATCTGATATAGGCTCTACTTATGCATTCATATGAAGCATATTTTCCCATTAGTCGTGATGTAAAGCACAAGTAGAACTAATGGGAGGAACTACGAGAAAGAAGAAATAAAACAAAACAACAAAGGAAAAGGAGAGCAAATAGTATGCTTCCATCTGCATTCAGACTCCAAAGTACTTTCTCTGGATGTGGAAAAGCATTTTCTATTGTGAGTCTTTTGGAGTTATCTTAGATCCTTACATTGCTGAGAAGAGCCAAGTCTATCAAAGTCAGTCATCACACAGTGTGGCTGTTACTGTGTACAACCTTCTCCTGGTTCTGCTCACTTCCCTCAGCATCAGACCATACAAGTCTTTCCAGGTTTTTCTGAAGTCCACCTGCTCATCATTTCTTATAACATAATAGTATTCCATTACATTCATATACCACAACTTGCTCAGCCATTCCCCAACTGATGGGCATCCCCTCAATTTCCAATTCTTGGCCACCACAAAAAGAGCTGCTATAAATATTTTTGTACACGTGTATCTTTTTCCTTTTTTTATGATCTCTTTGGCATACAGCCCTAGAAGTGGTATTGCAGGATCAAAGGCTCAGTTTTATAGCCCTTTGGGCACAGTTCCAAATTGCTCTCCAGAATGCTTGGATTAATTCACGACTCCATCAACAATGCATTAGTGTCCCAATTTTCCCACATCCCCTCCAACATTTATCATTTCCTTTTTTGTCATGTTGGTCAATCTGATAGGTGTGATGTGGTACCTCAGAGTCGTTTTGATTTGCATTTCTCTAATCAATAGTGATTTAGAGCATTTTTTCATGTAAGTATGGATGGCTTTAATTTCTTCATCTGAAAACTGCCTGTTCATATCCTTTGACCATTTATCAACTGGAGAATGGCTCTTATTTTCATAAATTTGACTCAGTTCTCTACATATTTGAGAAATGGGTCTCTCTATTTCTAAACCAATACCAAATCATTTTGATATTTCCTGTTTTGTGATGCTTTGTAGAATAGATTGAGATCTGCTACTTGTACAACTCCCCCCTCCCCCGTTGTTTTTGATTTGTGCCCGATTCTTTTGACCCCATTTGGGGTTTTGTTTCTTTTTTGGCAGAGGTACTGGGTTGCTTTGCCATTTCCTTCTCCAGCTCATTTTACAGATGAGGGAACTGAAGCAAACAGGAATGAGTGACTTGCCCAGGGTCACACAGCTAGTAAGTGTTCGAGGCCAGATTTGAACTCGGGAAGATGAGTCTCCCTGACTCGAGGCCTGGAGCTCTATCCACCACAGCACCACCTAGCTTCCCCAGATAGACCATCTACTTGCCTTCTTTTTTTCCCCCATCCCTTCCCTTCATGTTTTATCATTTGCTCCTCTATCTGAATTTTATTATTATTTTTCTAGCCATATAAAATAATCTTTTGGCAGTTTGTTACTGGATAAAGAAATTCACTTAGGTAGCATTTTCATTTTATTATATTGGTTTGAGTACTGAGTAATGAACATTTCTCCAATTATTTATATTTATGCAAAAAGTGATATATAAGTGGAGTTCCTGGGTGTTTCTCAGTAGATAGAATTCCAAATGTTTGATTTCTTCTGTTGCAAAATAAATTTTCTAAAGCATATGTCTGGCCACGCCACTCATTCCCCTACTCAAAAGCCTTTAATGACTGTGCCTGGTGTGAGTGGGCCCCAGACTATTCCTCCATGCCTGGAATTTACCTCCTTCTCTTAGGATCTCTGATTGAGGCTCATCTCAAGCATTTCCTCATCCAACTGGTGCCTCTCCCACCCCTCCCCACTTTGAATTTCATCCATATTTATTTTCCATTTGCAATATGTACACATCTTGCCTCCCGAAAGGGAAGGACACCTCTGTAAGAACCTGGCCTGGCTTTGTCTCTTTCCCTAGCTCCTAGCCCCAGGCCCAGCACAAGGTAGTTCCTTAATAAATGCTTGTGGGTTATTTCAGGCTGTGTGATCCTAGGCAAGACTTGAGCTCTCAGTGCCCCAGGCAACTCTCCAAATAGTGGCAGAGCAGGTGGGGGGGTGGAATTCTTCCCCCTAAGCTCCTTATTCAGTGAAAAGACAAGAAAAAAGCAGGCTGACCTTCTGAAGACAATGAGGACCCCAGGTGGCTTAAGAACCTCAGCTCCTCGAGCTAAATCTTTGTTCATTCATTCTCAGGCACTTTCCTCAGTCATTGGCTTTTCACACTTTTGACTCCTCTGGGGCTTGCAATCCACTAAAACTTGACAGGGTTGAGGGATGTAACGGAAAAGAAAAAGTCAGGGATCCCCCTCCAGGTTGGTGACTGATGATTGGGAAGATCTGGAGAATGAACTGAAAGAGGCTGAACTCTCTTTTCCCTTCCCAAGTTTATCCACACCCTAGAGGAACAGCCCACTTTCTCCCAGCGAGATCGGTGTTACGTGGCCTCGCTATTGTCTCTGGCCCTCCACGGCAAGCTAGAATATCTGACTGACATCATGAAGACCCTTCTCAGTGACCTTACGGCTCAGTATGTCCACAAGAATCCCAAATTGATGCTTCGCAGGTAAGGAGGGCATCGAGAGCCAGAATTAACAGCCATCCCAGCCCATGCTGCTCAGCCCAGCCCAGCCTCTAGAAGCCAAAGACCTCAGTTCACCATTTTGATATTCAATCACATGACTTCAAGTCACTTCACTTTCTTCTAAAGCTCACTTTCCTCCTCTCTAAAATGGGAGCGATAATCTTTGCATTGTCAACTTTTCACCGTTGTGTAGAAAGTGCTTATTAAGGGTATGTCATTAATGTGGAAATATGTTTAACATGATAGCACATGTATAACCTCTATCAGATTGCTTTCCGTCTTGAGGAGGGAAGAGGGAAAGGGGAGAGAGAGAGGGAGGGAGAAAAATTTGGAACTAAAGATCTTATAAAAAAATCAATGCTGAAAACTATTTTTACATGTAATTGGAAAAAAATAAAATAGTATTTACCCCCCAAAAAAGAGTATGTCGCCCTTCTCCCACCTTCTTTCTGATTCCGTCCTTAGAATCACCACCTCCAAGGAGCCTTACTGAATTAATTCCACATATATGAGGCTCTCGAGGCAGGTCTGAGATGAGTTCATAGGCTGGCCAAGGACTTATTCTCCTTGTACCTTTCCCTTCCCTTTCTTTTTCTATCACCTTTTGTTTGAAAATCCTTCCCACCTTATGCCACCCCAGTGAGGTTTACCTTGTAACAGAGAAAAAGAGGTAAGCAAAACATAGACTTTGACCAAGTCTGACACTCCACGCGACAGTTGCCCAGCTCTGGAATGCAAGGATCCTCTTCCTCATTGATGATTTTGTGTCTCTTTATAGGACTGAGACCATGGTGGAAAAGCTTCTAACCAACTGGATGTCTATCTGTCTCTACTCCTTCCTGAAGGTGATGTAACCTCACCTCTCCTAAAGGTCTAAGGACTTCGGAATGGGGATGGCTCTGATCCCTGCCCATCCTGGCAGCAGACCTCCCGCAAATGTTACTTTCCTGCTGACCAACATCATCCTCATTTCTGAAATCTTAGTGCCTAATGAAGGTCTCCCCTCTCTCTGATCCCATTGACCAATGCCTCTTTGCTCCCCCAGTTCTGCTGATTCTCTTCTCCTGATCCTAGGAGGTGGCAGGGGAGCCCTTGTACATGCTATTCCGGGCCATCAAGTACCAGGTTGACAAGGGCCCGGTGGACGCGGTGACAGGCAAGGCAAAGCGGACCTTGAACGACAGCCGGCTCCTTCGGGAGGATGTGGAATTCTGGCCACTGACGCTGACTGTGCTGGTAGGGCCTGGGGCTGGGACCGGTGAGCAGCAACGTGTGCCTGCCCGAGTGCTCAACACCGACACCATCACTCAGGTCAAGGAGAAGGTGCTGGACCAGGTCTACAAGGGCACGCCCTTCTCCCAGAGGCCTTCAGTGCATGCCCTGGACCTCGGTGAGACACTCTCCATTCCCCCAGGGCCTCCCAGAGACTGGAGAAGCCCCCTAGGATTCTTCCTATACCCTGAGATACAGCAATGCCTGCCAGGCCACTGAATACCCCAAGTGGTGTAGACAGTGTCTATCGAAGCCTCTGTGATAGGGGCTTGAGGGGGAGAAAACCTGGGGCCTGGGAAAGGCAGGGAAGGTTGCACCTGACCAGAGCTTAGCAGGATAATTCAAATGGAACAGAGAAGAGGGCTGAGGGCACAGGGGTGGGGGGTGTACAGGGATAGACCCCATGTCCCTGGATCCATGGAATATAAAGTAAGTACATGTGCAATGAGGCCAGAAAGGTGGAACCAGGTCATGGGAGGCCTTGAATGCCAGGCTAAAGACTTTGGATTTTATCTGATGGACCATGGGGAACCTTTGAAGGTTTATGAGCAAGAGAGTGATGGGATAAGGGTCCTAATTCCATATCTGGCTGAAGAAAAGGGATTGGAGCAGAGTGACCTGTAAGATCAAGGGACTCGAGGCCCAAAGTCCAATTTGTGGATTTTCTTGTTGTTAAAGTGGTGGGACCCCTGCAATCTCAGGCCTCTCCCAAGTCCATTCCCACTGAGAAGCTTGCAGACTCTTCTCCTTATCCCCTGCCCCCACCCCTTATTTCCCTAGAGTGGCGTTCAGGAGTGGCTGGGCACCTGACCTTGTCAGATGAGGATTTGACCTCTGTGACCCAGAACCAGTGGAAAAGACTCAACACCTTGCAGCATTATAAGGTGCTGGGGTGGGTGCAACCAGGGGAGGAAGGGGAGGAGGGAGGGGGACCAGAGCCGGTCCTTTCCTTGGGTCCCTGCCCCTGAAGGGGGCCATGCTCCTGCCAACTTTGTCCAGCTCCCCTCTCCCCTTCCCAGGTCCCAGATGGGGCAACTGTGGGGCTCATCCCCCGAATGCACAACGGGAACAGCTTCTCCAAAAGCCCGAATCAGAGCTTTCTCTCTGGAGAGAGTAAGTAGCACGGAGTGTTCGGCCCCAGATGGAGGCGCTGCCATGGGCTGGATGATGCCGACTAGGGGCTGCTGGGGGAATCGGGGCAAGGGGAGGGGTGCAAAATTCCCTTCTGAAACTGAATATGTGTGAGTTCTATGAACCTAACTCAGCAGATGCTCCTTTTGACAGATGAGTCAAACCAAATGGGGGCTCCAGTTTACCCCCCACCCAACTGTCCCCAGCTGAACCAAAGGGAAGTCAAGGGTAGGGAAGAATGTATATATGTGGTTGTTGATTCTCTTTTTCATAAAAGAACTATGGGCTAATTACTGAATTAGCCTCATGGCCTAGGCAGAACCAAAGGGGAAATTTAAAGTAGGCAGGAGGTGTAAGAATGGTCCTGTCCAGGAAATCACAGGGCTTAGATCGAGTTGAGGATCCCAAGCTCCATTCTGTCTCCATTCTCCCTCTGCGTTTGGGCCCCACACATGCCCCCAGTCGCCATAGCCAGTCTCCCCTGGGGAAGGGGGAGGTGGAGTCTCCACATGGCCTGTGCCCTCTCAGGCTTACCCATGTTGGAGGATGGCGACGAGAGTGGCATCCGGCTCTGGCACCTGGTCAAGTCTACAGAGGAGCCTGAGGTAGCCAAGCAGAGGAGAAGCAGTCTTCGGGAGCGAGAACGAGCCAAGGCCATCCCTGAAATCTACCTCACGCGCCTACTCTCTATGAAGGTGGGTGGGGGCCACATCCTGGTTCTTCGAGCCCAAGGTCAAGGACAGAGTGACCCTGCTGTGGAAGGGATGTATCAAAGTTGCTCTGTGGTCATACCAGTAGCCAAAAGCAGCCTCAGAGAAGGTGCTGGGGCGAGTAGCCCAGGGAAGGCTAACTCATAAGGCAAACTAGCAGGGTGACCATTCCAGCCTTGCAGAGAGAAGTGAGCGGGGCCAGCAACAACAGAAAGTCAGGGCTGGAAGGGGCCTCAATGTCATCTTCCAAACCCTCATGAAGAGGGGAAGGGACTTACCCAAGGTCACCCAGCTTTGTGATGCCCAGGTTAGGGGTCTTTCCACTATAATTCACCAATGCAGCAAAGTGGGTCCCAGGGCTGCTCCACAAACCTATTGACAAGTACTGGACAAAAATAAGAGAATTTCTTTTGCATGACTCTGCATGTTTGTCCCAAGGGTTTTTGGAATGATGGGATTTGTTTTTCATTTTTCTTTTATAACTTGGGAGGGGAGAGAGGAGGAGAGAACAGAGATTTGTGAAAAGAAATTAAAAGAAAAGAAAAGAAAAGGTACCAAACAGAATCTTATCTGTCTCCCACACAGGGCACACTGCAAAAGTTTGTAGATGATACTTTCCAAGCCATCCTCAGCGTGGATCGGCCTGTGCCCATTGCGGTCAAGTATTTATTTGACTTCTTGGATGAGCTGGCAGACAAATATGGCATTGAGGACCAGGAGACCCTGCACATCTGGAAAACCAACAGGTAGTCCTCTCCCAACCCACCAGAAAGGCCCTTAGACCACTTAGTCCAAGCCACCCACTTCACAGATGGGCAAACTGAGGTCTGGAGCAGTAAGGTCATACAGAAAGTGTTAGGACTAGAGCCAGAACCCAGGTATCCTAACTCCCAAGTCCAAGTTACCTGCTTGGTCTTTAGGTGATGGGATACCTGAGTCGTGAGGAAGGAGATAAGACTTGGAAAAAAGTAAATTGTAGAAAGATGATGAAAGAGTCTATACCTCCTAAATTCCCCCCAAAGCACATGAGCTCTATACCCCCAGGACTCCAAAAGGGGAAGGGGGATACCCTCCACCTCCATATTAGGAAGGACAGATGGCACTGTCCATGATAATTCATGTAATTCACATGAGCTGTTGGCAGACTACATCCATCCCTGGTCATGAAGTTTTTTTTAATTACTTTTTATTATAAACTTAATATTACTACTCCAAAAGTCCAATATGAACAGATAATCAGAACTCTTTTTTTTTTTGTGAGGGCAATTAGGGTTAAGTGACTTGCCCAGTGAGTGTTATGTGTCTGAGGCCGGATTTGAACTCAGGTCCTCCTGATTCCAGGGCCAGTGCTCTATCCCTGTGCCACTTAGCTGTCCCCCCAGAACTCTTTACGATAAAAATGACAACTGATCTACACTGTGCTCCTTCTGACCTTTGTCCATTTACATCTATATGGAGATGGCTAAATGAAGGGCATTGGCCAATTTCTATGCTCTTCTTGCAATTCAGCTCTTTTCTCACTCTACCGCCTTCTGCCTTTCCATATTTCCTTATAATTCTCATGTTTGCCATTTTTAATGTTTCCATAATATTCTGTTTCCTCCAAATACCATTGTTCAGCCATTTCTCTATCATACCATAGCTGTTCATTCACTCAACAAGCATTACTCAACACTTTCTGTGTGTCTGGTGCTGTACAGAGCTCTAGGGTCACAGAAATTAAACCAAAACGCTTGTCTCCAGGGATGAATAATGCAGCTATGATTTTTTTCATTACAGTTTATCTTTGTTTTCTTTATCTATATGACCAATTGTGAGATTTCTGGATCCAACAATATCATCGGTTTCTTAAAACACTTGTTTAAGAAACTACCAGGTAGCTCTCCCAAAAAATTGCACCAGGGTTCACATCCACCAACAATGTATGAGTGTCCCTATTTCTGGGAAAGACCAGTTTAGGGGTTTGAGGTAAAGTAATAAGACACTTTTCCTTCTCTGGTCTCTGCTACCAGCCTGCTGCTGCGCTTCTGGGTAAACACCCTGAAGAACCCCCAGTTCATCTTCGATGTCCGAGTCTCAGACAATGTAGATGCTATTCTCACTGTCATCGCTCAAACCTTCATTGACTCCTGCACCATCTCTGAGCACAAAGTGGGCCGGGTGAGGAGGGATGGGGGGAATCACATTGTTGGACTATCTGTGGGGGGGGGAGGTCCAGAAAGCCAGGAAAAGGGTCCAGGAGAGGTTTGGGGGATGACCCAGAGTGACATATTAGCATGAGAGGTACTATGGGGGATGAAGCATTAGCAATTGAGGGTAAGGTGTTGAGAATGGGAACTGTGGAGAGGGGCTGGTGGGGTTAGAGGGCTGGAAGAGTGGGGGCCATTGATTTTGCCTGCAGTGTTTCACCTTAAGTCCTTTCTACTTTTTCTGTGGATGGCAGGACTCCCCTGTGAATAAACTCCTCTATGCCCGGGAAATTCCTCGATACAAGCAGATGGTGGAGAAGTGCGTGGTTGGCTGACTACGGCAGGGGCTACCGGAAGGGGAGGGGGACAGAGGAGAGGGAACCATGGGACCGGCTCTGTCAGAGGTTGAAATTTGGGGTGAGGGGAGGGCCCATATGGGGATCCCACTGGTTCTAGGGCTGGTTGACCCTTCCTTCATACCTCCCTGCTGCCTAGGTATTACTCAGATATTCGGCAGAATACAACCGCCAGTTACCAGGAGATGAACTCAGCCTTGACCGAGTTATCAGGGGTGAGTAGCAGGGTCAGGACTGGAGAAGTGAGTGGGGCAATTGTCCAACCTGGCCTTAGCAATGATGATTAGGGTAAACAGAAGTAACAAGACACCCAGACCTTGACCTAGGTCAGATTGTGGTCTGAGTGGGGAGACTGCCTCTCTCTCAGGAAAGAATTAGAAAAAACAAAAACAAAAACAAGAAAGGTGTGAACAGATCTGAGTGCTTTGAATTCCTAGGAAGGAATGCTTGGGTTGCCTGGGGAAGACAGCCTGGAAGAGGGGCCACTTAACTAATCGTGAAAGGATGGGCGGCCAGGAGTGGGTAGCTGAAGACAATGTATCATAGGATGTTCATAGGATCATAGATTTTCTTTGGTACATTTTTTTTCAAACAACAAGCATTTATTTCCTCTCTCTCCTACTTTCCCCTTCCCCTGGAAAAAAAAAGTAAATACAAAACAAAAAACCTTTGTAACAAATCACATGGTCAAGCAAGACAAACTCCAAAAATGTATGCCTCATTCTGCACCCTGCATCCACCAGCTCTCCATCAGGAGGTAGGCAGCATGTTTTATCAGGAGTTCTCTGGAATCATGCTTGATCACTGCATTGGTCAGAGTTCTCTCAGAGTTGCTTATCCTTACAGCATTGTTGTCATTACATAAATTGTTCTCCTGGTTCTGCTCACTTCACTCTGCATCAGTTCATAGCAGTCTTCCCAGGTTTCTCTGAAACCATTTCTGACAGCAGGGCAATATTCCATTACATTCAGATGCCATCATCTCTTCAGCCATCCCCCAATAGATGGGCACCTCTTAGTTTCTAGTTCTTGCCGCTGCAAAAAGAGAGGCTAGAAAGATTTTTTCATCCTTGAGGATCATAGATTTTAGAACTGGGGCCAAGGTCAACTCCCTGATTTTACAGATAAGGAAACAAGCACCAGAGGTGGTCCGGGATGGGTGCTTCCAAAAGGTTTGCTCCAGCTCTGTGGGAAGGCCCCAGAGGGGGAGCCTGTCCTTGTCTAGGGAAGACTTCATTCTGGTCTCCAAGGTTCAGCAGAGACAGAATTAGGGGGAGGGTAAAAAGGAAGGGGACAGAGTGGCTGTGAGCCCAGGAAGGCAATGCTAGCTGATCAGATCTCCCTGGCTTCTTCCAGAGGCATAAAATTGGGCTAGTAGGATGGGGACAGATTTAGTGTATGGGGGTGGGGAGGACTGCTGGCGACCAAGTGTCCAAAAGAGGATGATTCTGACCTCAGTGGTCCCTTCCCCCACCAAGTCCTGACACTCTTGCCAACAACGTGTGTTCCCCCCAACCCCAGAACTATGCTTCTGACATCACCTGCCTGGTTGCCCTGCATGAGCTGTATAATTACATCAACAAGTATTATGACCAGGTGAGAAGCAAGTGGGCTTCTGGTGGGAGTTGGAGAAGGGCCTAGAACCTTGGAGGGGAGAGGGGAGAACCCTTAAGGTTAGATATCTAGAACCACTTAAAGTTAGAGAGGAGGTGGAGGGAGTGGGGAGCTGAGTAGTCAGCTTTGCTTGGACCAGAGCTTTGCTTTAATCTCTAACATCTTGAAATGCCTTCAGAGGGGAAATCATCTCCCAAGTGCCAGACCCAAACTCCCTGAAAAAAAGGTATCCTGACACCCAAGTTCAGAGTGACTGTGCTGGGAGAGATAGTGTAGGCCTCATCTCTCCCAGAGGTGGTCCGGGATGGGTGCTTCCAAAAGGTTTGCTCCAGCTCTGTGGGAAGGCCCCAGAGGGGGAGCCTGTCCTTGTCTAGGGAAGACTTCATTCTGGTCTCCAAGGTTCAGCAGAGACAGAATTGGGGGGAGGGTAAAAAGGAAGGGGACAAAGTGGCTGTGAGCCCAGGAAGGCAATGCTAGCTGATCAGATCTCCCTGGCTTCTTCCAGATTATCAGTGCCCTGGAAGAGGACCCTGTGGGCCAGAAGATGCAGCTGGCCTACCGGCTTCAACAGATTGCCGCTCTGGTGGAGAACAAAGTTACTGACTTGTGAGGCCCCACCCCCCAGGGCCCAGATCTTGGGCCAAGGAGAAAGAGATGAACCAGCCTGGGGTGTGGGAGCTGCCCCAACCAGGCCCTCCAGCTTAAAGTCAACTGCCAGGGCCCCCTCTCTCTTACCAGTAGTGCCTTTTGTCCCGGCTCCCTAGAGACCCAACTGGGTGACTCCATCCTTACCTACTCTCCCTCCCCTCCCCCCAAAATGGAGCTAGAGAGGCCTCTTTCTCTCCAGGACCCTCAAAAGAGGTTTGGGGCAGAGTGAGCCAGGAGGCTGGGTGGGCACTGTTGGTACCCAGAGTAATGGTCAAAGCTTGACCCTATTTTTCCCAAGTATGGAGGAAATAGTGGAAAATGAACCCTATCTGGGACACTCTTCTGTAGCGGAGAATGGGGGGGGGGGGGGGTCAAACATTCAGGACTTCTCACTCAAGCCAGTCTGGTCTAGCCTGTGACTTCCTCTTGCCCCCGGTCACTAGGATCATTAGTGGGGGTACGTGTGGGAGGGGAGCACCAAACTTTGCCTTTCTTATTGAGGCCTGTTAACTAAGGCATAGCTAGTCTCAGGCAGCCTGGGGTTATCCTAATTCACACCAGCTCCAGCCCTTTTTGGGATACTTAAAGGATGGCCTACCCCCCCTCCCATCCCACCCCCCATCCCATATATTTATTTACTTGCTGGAAAATTCCATTTGGAAATAAATGAGATCAAAACCTTTAAAAAAAAGTTTAAAATAATCTTCTCTTATTGGTAGTTTGTATTTGTGGAGGATCTGGAGGACAGGCAGTTCTCAACATATTTCCTGAGGAGGACCATCGTCTTCACTTTTCGAGGCCTGTTGCTGGATCATAAGGGTGTGGGGATAGGGAGACAAGGATGAGGCTGAAGAAATCCTGATCCTAGTAGCAATAGCTGGGGCTGGGAACATAATTGTTGGGAGTGGGAGAGGTGGAGGGCAGTAGAGTGCAAACTGTGCGCATGCACACACACACACACACACACACACACACACACACAACACACACACACACTCCTGGTCTCTCTCCTAATTCTCCTCCCTCTCTGACCGATCCTTCTCAGTCTCCTATGCTGGCTGGATCCTTCTCAAGATCATGCCTTTGAACCATAGATGACACTCAGGGCTCTGTTCCAGGCCCTCTTCTCCCTCTAGACTACTTTACTTGGGGATCGCAGCAGCTCCCAAGGATTTAATTACCGTCTCTAGGCTGATGATGCTCCCATCTATCCATCTTGCCCTAACCCTCCTTCAGTCTGGCATCTCCAACTGTCTTTCAGTCTTCTAGAACTGTATGTCCAGTAGACATCTTAAACACAAGTCTAAAACTGAACTCATTATCCTTCCCTTAAGCCCTTCTTCCACTCATGCTCCCCCCACCCCACTTTCACCCCGTCCCACCCTTCCCGGTTACTGTAAGCCCAGAGACATGGATAGGGGAAGGTTCTAGGCTCGGGGCAAAAAGTGAGAGTGCTGTCGGCGCTTTTTGAAAAACCACTCAGCCGACTTGTGTAAAGCGTTTTCTGGGGATGAGAGTACAAAAGGAGACTGTCCACTCCTTCCCTCCAGACTCGTGAGGCTGAGGCAAGTAGTAACACTATTTTCGCAGTTCCCCGGGCTGGCAACATGTTAATCTTGACTCCCCCTTAACTTTCACACCCCCATATCCAGACCCGCCAAGGCTAGTAATTTCTCCTTTGCAACATTTCTCAAATTCTACCCCATTTCTCTTCTGATACTGCCTCCCTCCTTCCTCGTTTCAGTGTTTTTCCTAAAGCGCGGGTCCAACCATGCCACCCCCACCCCCACCCCCACAAACGCCGGTGGCTCCCTATTACCTCCTGGATCAAGTACAAAATGCTCTGTTTGGTGCTCAAAGCTCTTCCTGACTCAGCCCCCTCCTACCTTCCCAGCCTTCTTACCCCTTACTGCCTGACACGTACTCTTCGGCTTGGTGACCCCAGCCTCCTGGCTGCTCCATGAGCAAGACCTTCCATCTCTCTGCTCCGGGCATTCTCTCTGGCAGTCCCTCAATGCCCCCCTCCTTACTTAAAGGATGGCCTACCCCCCCTCCCATCCCACCCCCCATTCCATATATTTATTTGCTTGCTGGAAAATTCCATTTGGAAATAAATGAGATCAAAACCTTTAAAAAAAAAAGTTTAAAATAATCTTCTCTTATCGGTAGTTTGACCACAGATCTCCCCGGCTTCCTTAAGTCCCCAACTAAAACCACACCTCCTACAGGCAGCCCTCCCCAAGCCCTCTGAATTCCAGGGCCTTCCCTCTGGTCATTATTTCCTAGTGATCCTGTACAGAACTTGCTTTGGACAGATTTGTTTGCATGTTGTGTCCCCCCCCCCCCCCCCCAACCCCGCTGCCGCCATTAGATTGTGAGCTCTTTGAAGACTATCTTTTGGCACTGTGCTTAATAAATGTTTATTGACTGACCGTCTGCAAAATCCTTGCTGGGTCAGCCCAATATGGGGGAGTGGGGAAGAGGGGTTTTAGAAGGCGGCTTGGGTCGCGGAGTGAGGAGGAGAGGTCGAGCGGGAATGAGGGCTATGCTTGATAGAATGAATACACTCAACAAACATTTCTAACCGAACGCCGGGAAATGAGATGCAAAGACCACAGAGAAGGGCCGAGGAAGTGCACTCTAAAGTCGGGGATGCTGGCGTGGCCGGTGGGAATGCGTGGAGGGCGCAAACCCCCGGTAGGCCGAGAGTCAGGAATGGCAGGTAGCCATTCAGTTCGTCTGGAACAAATCGAGTGAGGGTGATGGGGCTCAAAAAGGCAGGGAAGTGGACAGAAAAAAGGGCATTGGCGGGGTCAGTCCTGTCCAGTCATTTTTTGGACGGGGAAACTGAGGCCCAGAGAGAGGGATGGTGACCAGATCTAGTCTCCGGGCAAAAAGCGAAGAAGCGCCCTCAGGGCGTTTCCAAAAACCAGCCAATGAGCGCTGTGCGCGGGACGTTGGCTGGGGGGGAGGGGGAACCAGAGTATAAAAGGATTGCACCGACGGGAGCCGCTCCACCCCTCGCGATCGCTGAGGTGTGGGTATGTTGTCGAGCGATCTATCTCCTTCGAGGTCCGCGTAGCTTACACGCGGACACCTACTCCAAGCTTCCTGCTCACTTCTCTCTCTCCACGGTCCAGGCGATCCAGTGCCACGTCGTCTGGGAACGAGAAACCCGGTGTCCGCGTGCCGGCACGCTCGCGCAAGTGTGGTCCGGGCCAGATCGGATGGACGTCGCAGCTGCGGAGATGAGCAACGAGAAAAGTGGGCACCAGGCCCGAGAGGCCCGGGATCGAGAACGGACGGGACGGGGCAAAGCCATACAGGGTCGGGCACAGAGCTGGGAGCAGGACCCTGGGCGACGCGCCGTGTCTGTGCCCCGAGCGGGCCGGTTCCGAGGGGACCTCCGAGGCTTCAGGTCTGGCTCACTGGTGCTCTCTGCTCGCCAGTCCTGCCCCGCCCCGTCCCGTCCTGTTCCGTCCCCTCCTCCCGTAGAACCTAACCCGCCCAACTCAGGCCAGAAGAGCAAGAAGAAGGAAGGGAGCGGGGCGGACGACGCTGGGGGTAGCGCCCCGCAATCGCGGGGGGGCCTGTCCAGGCAGCCCCAACCGCGGCTGAAGCAGAAACAGCGGCAGTCCCCCATCCCGCAGCCCCCTCCGCCATTTCCTCCGCCATTGCCTCCCCTGCCGCCGCCCCCCCCCCCGCCGCCGCCCCCCCCCCCGCCGCCTCCCCAGCAGAGGAGCCAGCACGTGCAGGCCAAGTAAGTGCGCGCGACAGCCCGCTGGGGGGCAGATCCCCTAGGAGGGAGGCTCGATATTCTCTGGGAGGGAGGCCCAAGTCATACGGGGGGTGGGGGGATGATGGCGCAGCAGGTGCCGCTCAGAGCCGATCCGAGACGCTGGGACGAGGAGGGTCGGGGGAGGCAGGGCGCGAGTTCTGGGCGGCCTGCCCTGGAAAGCCCAGGCGGGATGGACCCCCAGGACCGGCCAGGGGATTCTGGGAGTTCAGAGGCATTCCAGCTGGGGTGGGGGTGGGGGGGTGGAGGGGGCGTGGCAGGTTCCGGGCTGGCCACTCTTTACCCCTAGACTTGGGAGAAAAGCCCCCAAGAAGTTGAAATGAACCGAGGAACTGATGAACTTCCTTCAGTCGGGAGAGTGGAGACAGGCAGAGACCAACTCACCCATAGATCCCCACAGGGTGATCATAGGACTTAAGGGTTTAGAACTGGAACGTGTAGTCCAGGTGGCCGATATTGTTGTCAGCCTTCCCTGGAGAAGTCTCTGTTTCGGGAGCATGTTCCTTTAAGAGTTAAAGGACCAGGACCCTCAGCGAGTCGGTAGAGTGGACTTTTTTGGGTGGTAGGGGGAGGGGACCTTTCCACTGACATACCTTTCCCTTCCCTAAAAGCAGCTGAGAATCTATTTATAACCCTTTCCCTGGCCAGCCGAGTGAAATCACCCCAGCTATAAATGCCCCTCAATCCACTCTCCCCACAGTAGAGATAAGGTCTCCCTCCTCCCAAAAAAATTCCAAAAGGAGAAATTGACGTCAACCCTTCATCCCCACTCCCTACCTCCAACGGGCTAGGCCAAGTGCCTGAGGGCAGAACACCCGAGCACTTCAGACTTTGGTGTTGGGGACTGGGGGATCAGTTAGATAGATTTTCATGGTAACCCCCTGACTTGGGGTAGAGTAGGTAGGGTGTAATGTGCTGGTGAGGTCAAGATGAGCTCAAGCAGCAGCGGCAGCGACAGGTAGGGGGTGTCCTCACGTTTGTGGGTCTAGACAGAGAAACGGACCTCCTGGGATTCTCCCTGCCCAGAGTAGAGCTGGGCAGCCCTGGAGAATGTGGGGGGGGGGGCAGTGGAGTGTGGGGGAGGAGGGAACCTGGTGGGACAAACTGGAAATTGGAGGGAGGGCTTGGGGAATCCAAGAAGGCTTGGAGGGTAACCTGAGGACTTCCCTCTCCACCCCTACCAAGAAGTTCACATCTTGCATTTGGCCACGAGTTCACTGACCTGGAGGTGAGAGCTGGTCGGGTGCTACCCCCCATGGTACTGGAGGGCCTTCTGGGCTCTGATGATGAGGAACAGGAAGACCCCACCGATTACTGCAGGGGTAATAGAGAGCCGCCAAAGCCAACTTGGCCTCCCCTCTTTGGATGGGAGGTGGGGACAAAGGGTCCATCCCAGGGCAGGCAGCCTGAATAAAGAGAAACAAAGGCAGCATCAGTCTCTCCCCTCTCAGGAAGGGAAGGGGATGGAGGTGGGAGGACCAAGCCAATAACACCAGACCCCTTCTTGTTCCCCTGCCCTCTGTTCTTTTACGCTGTGGGGAGGAGAGACAGAGAAGGAGACAAAGTTTTCATCCATAGGGCTCAGTGAGCCTTGCTGGGCCATTGGAATATGGTCCCAATGATTAGGACAAATAGTGAGCCTGTAAGGGATGGGGGTGGCTAGGCAGAGGCACCTGGACTGACTCGGGGCCTTGGAGAAGTGGTATCCTAACAGTGGGTAGGGAGGCCTGAAGTCTTTCCTTCTGCCTTCCCTCCCCCAAGGTGGTTACTACCCAGTGAAGATTGGAGACCTGTTCAATGGACGATACCACGTGGTTCGAAAGCTGGGGTGGGGCCACTTCTCTACAGTCTGGCTCTGCTGGGATATCCAGTGAGTGACCCTTCTCCCACACCCTCCTCCTGGCCCATTTGGCCAGTCTCGCTCTCCCCCCTCCCATCCTTGGATTTGAGGGCCCAGACACTGACGTTGGTGGTGAGAGGCAATCAGGGGGGTCTCTTTTGTAGGCGGAAGCGGTTTGTGGCCCTGAAGGTGGTGAAGAGTGCTGTCCATTATACTGAGACTGCCGTGGATGAGATCAAACTGCTCAAATGCGTAAGTCCTCACTCTGCTTTTTGGATCTCCGTGTGTGTGTCCCTCCCCCATCCCACTAGGAACAGACAGTAAGAAGCAGGAGGGGGAGGGAGAGCTCAGAGGACCAAATTCCCCGATGGCTCGGAAGGCTCTCTGGACTCCTCTGCTCCTCACCTTGCCCCCCCCACCCCCATCATAGTCTTGATGTCTCCAGGTCCGGGACAGCGATCCCAGTGACCCCAAAAGAGAGACTGTCGTGCAGCTCATCGATGACTTCAGAATCTCAGGGATCAATGGTGTCCGTATCCTTGGGAGTTTGACTAATTCTGAGGGTTTGGGCAGCGTGCAGGGGGACTGGAGAGGAGGAATAGGAAAAGGGTGTGCCGTCCTTACCCTCTGCATTACTACCCTGTTTTAAAAAAATAAAAGATGTGGGGGGGGCGGTTACCAAGAAGGAATCAATGGCCAAGGATTCCCCTGGGTTTGGAGGCCCCTCTGGAAAGCTATCTTGGGGAAGAGGGGAGCCCCCCACCAGCCCCTCACCCGCTCCCCAGCACCAGGAGGGAATGCCCTTCCATCTACTGTTCAGTTCGATATGCCTTCACTCCTCTGCCCGGCCAGATGTGTGCATGGTATTGGAGGTTCTGGGCCACCAGCTCCTCAAATGGATCATCAAATCTAACTACCAGGGCCTGCCTCTCCCCTGTGTGAAGAACATCATGCGGCAGGTAGGGCTGGCTTGGGACCTGGGCTGGGGGGTGGTCAGGGGGCACTCAAGAAGGGAAAGGAGCTTCTTGGAAATCAGCTGAGACCCAAAGCTAGTAAGTCTTACTATTTGTCGGGCACTGTGCTGGGTACTGAGAACACAAAAAAAGGCAAAGACAGGATCCATACCCTCAGGGAGTGGATATTCTAATAGGGCCCTGGTTGGCTAATTAATTGGTTACTGACCTCTTCTCAGTCTTGACTGTGTTATGTACATGTGAGCCTACAATTAGATGTGCTCCAGGTGCCGGCCTCTTACTTAACCTGGTGAATCACTCCATCTCATTCACATAACCCCAGGCCTCCAGGGCAGTAGAGAAGTCATTCATAGCTTTAGTCAGAAGGTCAGAGTAGGAATCCCAACTCTGAAGCTTGTCACTTCACCACTTTAAGCCTCTGTTTCTCATCCTGTATTCTTGGGTTAAGGAATTATGTTTCTGGATTGGGTTTATGGTTACTCTACTGGACTTTTCCTGCAATGTACCTGCTAGCTACTATATTCCGTTGACCAACTCTCTTCTATTTTTTAACTGTTATCAAATTGTTTTTTATAATTTCTGACTTGTAGTATAGTTTTGAGATCTCATTGTACTAGGCCCTCATCATCCATCCATCCATCCATCCATCTCTAATTTCCCTTGAGTCTTGACCTCAGGACTCTGGATCAAATTCTGTTATTATTTTCTAGTTCTTAATAGATAAACTCTTGATCATTTGGTTGGTATGTAGGCCTAAGTTTATTCATGTGTAAAATGAAGAGTTCAGGCCAAATAACCTCTTAAGGTCTCTCCCTACTCCAATCTATGAGCCTATGATTCTCCACTGGTGGGGGTGGGGAGAAGTTTGGGGAAATCCAGTTGATCACAGATGGTTCCACCACTAGGTGCTGCAGGGCCTGGATTATCTCCACACCAAATGTAAGATTATCCACACTGACATCAAGCCGGAGAACATTCTTCTGTGTGTGGGTGAGGTCTACATCCGAAGGCTGGCAGCAGAGGCCACACTGTGGCAGCAGTCAGGGGCCCCACCTCTTTCTGGCAACACTGGTACCACTTGGGCTGGGGATGTGGGAGTGGGGGAGGCACCTTCCTTTAGCCCCAGCCCTCTTGTCCCCCAGCCCCTGGCCCTGGGGTCTAAGAATTCCCTCTGCTATCTGATCCCCTTAACTTTCTGTCTCTGTCTCTCCTCCCCACACCTCCTCTCTCTGGCCTGTCGTCTTGGCCTACTCTAGTGAGCTCTGCACCCCAGCAGATCATGGTAAGTTGGTACCCTGGCACCTGTCCCATGCCTTTGAGTTTACTCAAAGTATGTGTCGTCCTCCCATGGGACATACTAAAGGTGCAGGGATGAGAGAAGCAAAATTTGGGGGCAGGGCCCTCCTTCTTTCCACCACCCAGTCCTGGGAGGAACCTGGGCTGTGGGTGGGGGTAGTGCCTTGTTGAACAAATCTAGTTAATAAATTTATCTCCCAGTATCTGAGAACTGGGACAGAAGGTGGGCTTTGGTTTGGCTTGATTGGATTTTTAAGTTACTCTTCAAGTTTGTTGATCAATGTCAACTCTTCCGAGTTCTTTTTGAATATCATTCATTCAACCTGCTCCGAAGTGCTGGGTTGGAGAGTGGAGGAGACTTGCCCTGCCCTCAGGGAGTTTAGGGGGACAGTCTACCGGCAGGCCCCAATTCCCAATAATCTGCTCTGGAATAGATTGTTTGGTCTCAGATTCCCAGACTAGGTCTCATCCAGCCGGTAGTGAGTGACCGACCTTTGAATGAAGTTAATAGCTAGCTTTTAAGAAAGGATATGTTGGGAGAACAAGCCTTCACGTGCCAGGACATTGTGGATGGGGCCAACCATTGAAAGATATAATTGATAACTAAAATCAGACATTTGTGAAACAGGGAGTGCCTGTACCAGAGTCATAGGACATCAGAACCAGAAGGGTCGTAGAGGCTGCAAACCCCACCCCACCCCCTCCTTCCAGAGGAGGAAACTGAAGGGCCAGAAGGGGGAGGAGGGGCTTTGAGGGCTAAAAAAGGGGGGAGGGGCTTGACCTGAATGGTAGAGCTGGGCCATCAAGAGAGGGAGTTGGGGGATCTATTTACCAATTCCTAGGATCATAGAATTAGCCTTCAAAGGGACCTTAGAGGTAATCTAGTCAAGCTCCCTTACTTTACAGTAAGGGGCAGTTAGGGGGTGCACAGTTCAAAGAGCACTGGGCCTAGAGTCAAGAAGACCTGAGTTCAAATCCAGCCTCAGACATTTACTAGCTGTGTGACCCTGGGCAAGTCACTGCCCCCCTCTGCCTCAGTTTACTCAACTGTAAAAGAGGGATGGCACCTACATCCCAGGGTTGTTGTGGGGATCAGAATAAGATAATCATTGTAAAGCACTTAGCACAGTGTCTGGTAAGCACTATATAAATGTTAGATTTATTATTATTATTATTATTATTATTATTATTTACAAAGGAGTGACTGGGTAGGGGGAGATAGGAACATGTACTCTGAACTCTCCTGGAGCCTTTGCACCGTGCTTGTGACCTTAAGGGCTGATGAACCAATCTGGGGCTTCCTCAGCTTGGAACTGCTAATAGGGGAGGTCCGTGTGAGCCATACTCTTGCTTCTTGGAGAGGGAGGGGTTCCTCTCCTCCCCCCTCCCCACCCTTCATACACCTGGGCTCCTCTCTACTTAGAATGGCAAGCTCTCTAAGAACAAGAAGAAGAAGATGAGACGCAAGCAGAAACGGCAGAAACAGCTCCTGGAAGAACGCCTTCGGGACCTGCAGCGCCTGGAGGACCTGGAGGGTGAGAGGGGCCTGGAAGGCCTGCTGGCTCCACCACCCCAGCCCCCTGACGTGGACTCAGACGAAGCTGTAGGGGCCACATGTGAGTGGGGCTTCCTCTGCCCGGGGAGGGAGGAAGAGAGAAGGGCTACCTCCCCTGCCCATCATCATACCTGGCCTTTATCCAGCCCCTCTGGGAGAGATCAGGTGGGAGGTATGAAGGCTCACCCTATCTCCCACAGGCACCAACTCACAGCTGGGCGAAAGCAGCGGGACCACCCTTGCCGAGGCCTCGGGGGGCAGCTTGGCATGCAGTCCCCAGAGCCTGACCTCCTCTTCAGGCTGTCATCCATGGGGAGGTGGAGGGGCCTCCCCAGCCTCTTCCTCACCACCTCAGGGACAACACACAGGCAACCGAGGCTTCAGCCCTGACTCGCAGACTTCTGGATTTTCGGGGTCCCTCTTCTCCCCTACCTCGGGCTCCACCCTTTCAGGCTTTTCAAACCGTCGGGAGAAGGGGAGACTTTGCTCCCTCAGCAGTAAGTGGGAGGGGGGTCACATGGCTGGACTGGTTGGGAAGGCTCCACTAGTCTGGAGCCCCCCTTTTCAGCCCCCTCTCCTTACCTTCCCCCAACTCAGGAACATTCAATGCCTCAGACTTCCTGGTGAACCCTCTGGAACCACAGAATGCAGACAAGATCAAGATTAAAATCGCTGATCTCGGCAATGCGTGCTGGGTGGTATGATGATGGGGGAAGCAGGGAATCACCCCCTTTCATCTTCCTGAGGTCTCCACAGGCCTCTTTGGCCCTAGATTGTGGTCAGGCAGTCACCACCAGTGCTGTAGACAAGGTCACATAAAATGGGCCATGCATGTGTAAAGGTTTCTGGGGTAATCTTGGTCTCCCACCTTTTTTTCCCCCTGGGTAATGTAATCATTTTATTAATAAGCACCTTTATTAATAAAGTCATTTGCCTGTCTCTCTCAGATCAAAGCCAATCATGTCGATAAGCTCAGGGCTTGTAGGTTCTTTTGGAAGAGGAGTGGTCAAAAGGATGGCAGGCAACTCTGATTGGTTACCAGTTAATGAGAAAATGAATATTCCAGTGAGGGACTGGACCTGAACTTTGATTAAATCATCTACTTCTTAAGTTAGCCTCAGCCTTGGGCAGTCTATTCAAAGAGTTTATTCCCACACAAACCTGAGTAGAATACAATGGCTACCCAACTCCCCAGGAGTCTGAACAAGAAAATTAGTCCAATCTCGTTATCAGCAATGGCCTTCAAGAGACTGAACTTTTAAAATCAGGGGACTTTAGAAAAAAGGGAGGGAACTCTGGATCTCCCCAAATCATTTCTCTCATTCCCCCATTTGATTCTATTGAGAGGCATGACTCCTCAATGAATCACTGATACGACAAATGTTTCGCCAAGAGTTTCTAACTGTCCCACCTTTTCTTAGTGGACAGCCCTGGCCTGGAAGTCAGGAGTCCTGTCTGGGGCATAATCTTGGGGCGCTGCTGTATGATCCTAGCCAAGGGCCTAGGGCATGCATTAAAGCCAAGAATGCCAGGGCTCCTTCTATTGGGTGGCAGCCAGTGGGAGGCCCAGTACCTGGATCAACTGATCCCTGCTGATCTCCAATCAGGGATCTGGGATGGGTTTTTTAAAAAGTATTTTGATAACTATTTCAATAGAATTCATTTCTTTTGTAATCCTGGCGATTGATTTAAAAATATTCTGAGAAGAGGTCTGTGACAAAAAAGGTTAATAACCCCTACTGTGGGTAGAGTATTCCAGAGAGGAGGGGGGAAGTTAGGTTCCCTGCCCGACTCCCCCCCCCCCCCCCAACTCCCTCATGCCCCAAGGAGACCATTTTCTCAGGGCCAAGGCCCCAAGCACTTCCAGGACCAATGGAGTCAAGTGAGAAGGTCTTGGGCATTAGGAGGCAGGTAAGGGTGGTTCAGAGAGCAGGGCTAGCTGAATTCTTCTGTTCCTCAGACTTGAGGCTAGCCAGACTGGTTCTGGCAGGCCTTGTCTCCAGCAACCTCTTTCCCTTACTCCCAAGCACAAGCACTTTACTGAGGACATCCAGACCAGACAGTACCGGGCAATCGAGGTGCTCATTGGAGCTGAGTATGGCACACCTGCCGATATCTGGAGTACTGCCTGCATGGTAGATATCATGATAGGACCCCATGCTCCTTGACCCACCCACGCCATTCGTTACTGCCTTTGTCTTTCCATCCCACTTGTTCTTTCAAGATATGGCTCCAGGGCCAACACCAGTCCTTCTCTTGGGCCTTGAGAGTCAACTCACCCCATTCATTCTCTCTTTATCCCCATCCAGGCTTTTGAGTTGGCCACGGGAGACTATCTGTTTGAGCCACACTCTGGAGAAACCTACACTCGAGATGAAGGTGGGTAAGGTACACACAGAGAGGGAAATGGGACTCAGTGTTACCACCTGGGGGACAAGAGAAAGGAGGGGAAAGTGGGAGGGATGGAGCACTTACTGTAGCTCTCACCTCCCTCCCAGATCACATTGCCCACATTGTGGAACTCCTTGGAGACATCCCTCCAGCCTTTGCCCTCTCTGGCCGCTATTCACGGGAATACTTCACTAGACGAGGTACTAAGCTGCAGGGGCCTCTGGGAGACGGTGGGAAACCAGGTGAATCACAAGCCTCAATTTCTAACCAGGCTGCCTAGTGCCAGGTGCTGAAGGCCAGGTTTTTTCCATTTTAGCCAAACTAGCCAAGTGTCCCGAGTGGCCAGTGCCTCTCTGGAAGCTTCCATTTTCCTGTGGGCGATTCCTTTCTGCTCAGAGGTAGTACCAAGCTATGTGTGCTAAATGCCAACTCAGGTGCCAAGCACTGTCCTAAGGGGCTGGTATTGGCACTGGAGCCATATCTTGAACAATAAATGGGATGGAGAAACAAAGGCAGTAAGGAGTGGTGTGGTGGGTCAAGGGGGTGGGGTGCAGGTGGGGGTGGCATCCTATCAGAGAAGTTAGAGCCGTATGGAGGAAGATGCAAGAAGGTAACCAACTTCTAACCAAGCTAACCAACTTTGGCTGTCCTAGGTGAGCTCCGTCACATTAAAAATCTCAAGCACTGGGGTCTGTATGAAGTCCTCATGGAAAAGTATGAGTGGTCACTGGAGCAGGCAACACAGTTCACAGACTTTCTGCTGCCCATGATGGAGTATATCCCCGAAAGGCGGGCCACTGCTGCCCAGTGCCTCCAGCACCCCTGGCTTAACTCCTAAGCCTAACTCCTCCTGTTCTCCCTGCCCTAGTTTGCTGTGGTAGAGGGTGGCCTGCTTTTGAAATGTGCCTGGGGACCATGCCAGATGGGGGAGACCATCTCAAGAGGTCAGGGCACCACTTCAAGTGAGTTCAGCCCCAGCCCCCAGGCACCAGGATCACACAATCGGCACCTGTGCCACTGGGAGGGGCATCTAAAGCTGACCCCAGTCCCCCCATGTCTCAGAACCTTGGTGCACCCTCCTTTCAGGCCCATAGATAGTGTGCTAAGTCATGCTGGATCGGTTTAACCAGCAGTGTTTCTGGAGAAAGATTTAGAGTTGTTTTCCAACCTGTTTCCCTCCTTTCTGATCCCAATTTTCAGCTCAGGGCAAAAAAAAAAAAAAAAAAAGCAATAAAATTGTTTTTCTTACTGAAGATCTTGCTTGGTGTGAAAACCGTTTGTCAGGCAGGCTTGGCTAGAGTCTGACGGGGCCCAGGAGGGGCAGGGAGGGAGAGAAGTGAGATACTTTCTGGGGGAGACACAGACACTATCATCTGTTTTCCCACCCCCACCTTCACTCAGTGTTTATTAAAAACATGACGGATGACATACCAGGTGGCAAAGAGAGAGTCTGAGGCCCCCTTGGTACCAGGTTCAAACAGAAACACTCCAGGCAGGCTGGAAGGGGACACAGTTGTTTATTTTATAAGCTAAGAAGCAGGGGAAAGGAATGCACGCTTGAGCTCAAGGAGGAGGAGCCCCTTCCCCAGACTCAGTGTTCTATCTGACAAGTAGGTTATTAGGGGCCAATAAATAAAGCAGCACAGCTGGAGGGGGGTGTGGAGGGGGAGCTCGGCTGGCAGGGTGTCAAGGGCTAGACCTCCATGGCCCATCCGTTGATGACTCTGATGTGGTGGATGATGTCCTGGATGGCTTCTGAGGTGGTGCCTTGGCCCCCAATGTCTGGGGTGTGCATCTAGGAACAGAAACCCACACCGGCAAGGGCAAATCAAGATGCCATCCACGAAACAAGGCCAAAACTGCTACGGGAGTTTGTACTGAAAAGCTGCCCAGGAGCAGAGGCCTCAGAGCTAGCTGGGCTTGATAATCTCCAATCCAACAAGAAAACCACCCAGAGATCTGGTGGAAGGCATGCAAATCACAGTTCTCTGATTTAAACCCAAGAGATTCGGGTCCCTTAATTAAGACTGAAGACAAAACACCAAGACAGAGGAAGAAACAGCTTCAAAAATGTATGCCCTAAAACCAGAACCTGGGAGCACAGGGGGCTGGGGGTAGAATCTTGGGGCAAGAGAGCTGCTAAGCCTCACGTTTTCATTGTCCATCGATGCCAGGACAGCCTTCCGGATCGAGGTGGCATATGAGTGGAGCCTGTGGAAGAGAGGAACAGAGGATGGGGAGAGATCCACAGGCACCAGGCCAGAGGGGAGACAAGAAACTGGGTACCCCCCCACCTCCCACCCTTCCCGTTACCAACATGAAAAGACAAGAAGCCCAGCTTACTTCAGATGGTCCAACATCATGCAGCTGGCCAACAGGGTGGCCGTAGGGTTAGCAATGTTCTTATTGGCGATGCTTTTTCCTGTGTTCCGAGTTGCCTGAAAGAAGATGGGGCCAGGCATGTAAAGGTGGTCTTTGGGAAGGGAACAATTCCAGCTACTTCCCTTCCACTTCAATTGTAGCCACTCACCGTCTCAAACACTGCATACACGTGTCCGTAATTTGCCCCAGCCACAAGACCAGGGCCCCCAACTAGGCCAGCACAGACATTATTGACGATGTTGCCATAAAGATTGGGCATCACCATGACATCAAACTGCTGGGGCCGAGACACTAGCTGTAGACAGAGAGCTTGGGTCAGAGAGAAATGCACAGAACTTGGGCTACATCCACCCAATCCCCAATATACTAGAAGAACCCTGGGCCAAGCAGTGGTCCAGACTGTCCTCAGGGACTACACAGGAAAAAGCAAAACAGACACAGAAATCAAACTTCAAGGGTCAATGTCAAGTGGAGGAGGGGATATGGTCATTGTGTTTTTGGGTTTTTTTTTTTGTTTTTTTTTTTAGTGAGGCAACTGGGGTTAAGTGACTTGCCCAGAATCCCACAGCTAGGAAGTGTTATGTGTCTGAGGCCGGATTTGAACTCAGGTCCTCCTGACTCCAGGGCCGGTGCTCTATTCACTGCACCACCTGGCTGCCCCCAGATATGGTCATTGTGGAAAATGATTTTCATCTTGGGTGAAAGTCCCCTTGGAAAGGTAGGAGAATCAAGAAAGCTCATTTCCTCCTTCCTCCATGGGACCACAATGGCTAAAATATAGCACCAAAATGTCTAAAAGCCAAAATACACTCACATTTAAACTCAAATGTCAAAGTAAACCAAGCCAAAGCTCAATCAAAATGAATCATGGTCTGTGTGACCCTGAGCAACTCACTTAACCCCGATCACCTCACCAAAAAAGCAAAAAAAAAAAAAAAAAAAAAAGTTCTGGGGTTTGGTCCTGGCCTTTGCCCTTCGAATCAGAACTAGAACTAGAACATGGCAGAGCTGACAAAGCTCATCTAAACTCCACTGAGGCGCTGCCCCCAAGTTACCCAGTGAGGGAGCTTCAGGGTCAGGCCTAACCCAGAATGACCTCCCAGCATTCTTTCTGCTACATCAGGGTGGTCTGGTGAGTCTCTGGGCTTCAGCAGCTGCATCTATAGGCCCGAGGAGGTGGATTATGATGATCCGTCCCTGCAGCCTTTTCCAGCTCTATCATCCAAGGGTGGTTTATCTGCTTTGGAAGGATTATAGGTCTATTGCCAACAGCACAGAGATACACTAAACTAGAGCTGTTGTATAACTCTGGGTCTGGGAGAGGAGGCTGCAGTTGACCTGAGGCTAGTCGGATCCTAGGGCAGGCTAAGGAGGTTGGCCCTGGTGCCAAGGAGCCAAGTACCTGCATCGTGGTGTTGTCCACGATCATACTCTCAAAAGTGATGTTGGGATAGCCCGCAGCCACCTCCTTACAGCACTGGAGAAAGAGGCCATCTCCCAGTTTCCTATGAGGACAGAAAGCTTAGTTGATCACAAGAACTGTAACATTCATTGAAGTGGTAGAGAGTGATGAAAAAGCACACAGGATTGGAGCAGGAGACCTAGATCCTAATCCTGGTTCTGCAACTAGCTAGCTGTATGACCTTGGGCAATCCTTTTCCCTCTCTGGGACTCAGTTTCCTCATCTGTAAAATGAGGAGGTTGGACTAGATCTTTCAATGAGTCCTATGATCTGGATCAGAGGAAAGGTACTGGGGTTGGGAGGAGGGGGTGGAGAGATGAGGAGAAATAGCATGAAAGGAACGGGGGGGGCCCCCCCACAGCAATAAATGGATCAGTTGTCATCAGTCCCCCCCAATCCCTACATGATGTTGGCCTTGTGCACGGCAGTCACTTTCTTGCGCCCAGTTTCCTGGGCCAGGCGGAAAGCATACTCAGCGATGCGCATGGACTTAGCCTTGGTGATAATCTTCAAGCTCTCCACCACGCCTGAAACACTCTGTAGGGATGAAAAGGTGGGGGTGATTCCTCTTCCCTTGGGAAGCCTTCAGCTCCTTATGGGGGCAGGAAGAGTAGGGCACTGGCCTCATCTACTTCCAATCCAATTCGAGGGTCAGAAGAGACCCTAGCCTGACCACTCCCTCCCATGCTAGGAAGCAGAAGAAAGAGAAGACGTAGGCCTTCACTGCAGGGAACCCAGTCTAGGCTGGGAAGACAAAACTTCAACAGTAAAGAACCAGAACCTTAATAAGTCTCATCTTATCACCTCAACTAGAGTAAGACTGGTTGTGTAAAATGACTTACCAGAACATATTTTTCTACAGATAGAAGCTGTGGTCCCCTGGCATACTGACCCATGGAAGCTGCCCCAGTTCAGACCACTAGGAGACTCTACTGGAATCTCCCTTAGAGATGGTTTAGGCCAGGGACTCAAGAAAGAAATGGTCAGTTCTATTCTTTCCTGAGAACACTGCGTGTGACTCCAGAAAGTTCTTACTTTCTTCCTCATTCTCCTCACACTTGGCTGCCAACAATTCAGGGATATTGGTCTTCAGGGGATCAATTCAAGGCCATTCAAAATCACCTATTACAGGCTCAAAGAGTAGCATCTCTAATGTCTTGAGCCAATACTGAGTTGCCTTGTGGCAATCAGTATAAAGCAAGGGTGGGCAACCTTTCAAGGGCACTGTTCTGAAAGCTAATGTTTATTAGGTTGTTTGCAGTTCTAGTGAGTTTGTTAAAAAAACAAATAAAATAGCTGCTGAGTCATCTAGGTTACTTCTGTCTCTACCTACCCCAGCCCCCCAGCTGAGCCCTAGCTCTCCCCTCCTGCTCCAGCCCCTACACTGAGAGAGCCCCAAATGGAAGAAGGGCAGTCAGGAGAGCTGGCCGAGAAGTCAGACTCTGCTCCTAATCCTTTTTTTGGGGTAAATTTAAAAAAATTTTAAATTTAAACACAAAACAAGAAAAAAAAACCATTGCCATGTACACAGGAAAACATGAGAGGATTCAACATAAAACAATAAATTTTCATTTCAAGAAAACCTATATAATAAATATAATACTACACATTGTTTACCAAGCTACCCAGCTTTTCTTTGCTTCCTCCTAGGTTTTCTTTTGTTTTCTGCTGTGCACTTTTTACTTTATTTTTTCTGCCTCCCCCAGGCTACAATGAAGCACAGATTTTATATATGTATATATATATATACACACACACACATATATATATATACACATAGATATACACACACACACAGAGATATCTATAAACATACACATATATGCTCATACACATATATATGCAAAACCATACTATGCTTATTTCTTCCTATCATCTATTTCTCTGAAGGTAGATAGCATCTTCCTTCATAGGCCCAAGTCCACGTTCTTCTAAATCAACCAGCTCATCATTTCCTATGCCACAGCAAGGTTCCAACCCAATTCCATTCTATCTGAGAGCTTGTCCATCAAAGTTTTCCCCTAATTTTCTGCATTCTTTCTATTCTTGGCTGCATAGGTTTTATTTATACAAGGAAATTTTAATTTAAAGTAATCTAAATTATCCATTTTATATTTCAACAATGCTCTCACCTTATAATATGGTTTAAGGTTTGATATTGCTGAATCTGCTTCCTTTACATCTTTTTTCCCTTGATTTCTTTGAAGTTCCTGACCTTTTTTTCTTCCAAATGAACTGTTATTATTTTTACTAACTCAGTAAGAGAATTTTTTTAGTATCTGCTCCTAATTCAACAGGCAGCTCCAGATGGGTCAGTCTTGTAGGGATCCCACTTATGGGAATATTCTGTTCATGA